GCCGCCACCTACACCACGGTGCCGCGCGTGGCCTTCTACGCCGGCCTCAAGAACCCACACGAGGGCTACGAGGTGCTCAAGTTCGACGACGTGGTCACCAACCTGGGCAACAGCTACGACGCGGCCAGCGGCAAGTTCACGTGCAGCATCCCGGGCACCTACTTCTTCACCTACCACGTCCTGATGCGCGGCGGCGACGGCACGAGCATGTGGGCGGACCTGTGCAAGAACGGCCAGGTGGGCGATTCGCGGCGGCGGCGGCGGCGGGCGTGCGCCGCAGCGGACCCTCGGGCGGTCTGCACCCTCCTGTCGAGCCCGGAAATGCGCAGTCCCTTCCTGCTAGGAGGCCGCCTCCCGGGAAAAGTTTCCCCGGCGGCCTCCCAGGTCCAACTTCTGCAAGGGGTGGGATCCGGTCCTGCCCAGGTGCGCGGCGCTCTCCTTGGAACCCCCCCCACGCCACCCGCTGGACCTGGCCGTGCCCGAGGGGCAGAGCCTCCCCAGCTCCTGGAGCCCACCTCCCGCGCGAGGCTCCCAGCAAGCTGATTAGGTCAGGCGAGGGTTCTCCTGAAAGGAGGGGACCCCGGGGCTGGAGGGAGGTGGAAGGAATGTCCCCCGGTGGGAAGCAACAGCGGGGAGGAAGCCCTCGGGCTGCAGCGCTACCCTGACCTCTTGGGCCTTGGGGTCGGGAAGGGAAGGGTCCGCAGCTGGCCTGCGGTACTTGGAAGTGTGTCCCCTCCTCCCTGTCCCCTGCCCACGCCTCCCCCTCCCCTGGTTTCCGCCTGTCCCTTGGCTCCTTTCTCCTTTCTCTCCTCCTTCTTTCTCTTGCTTCCCGCGTTCCTCTCTGCCGCCCCCTTTCTGGTCTCTCTCCCCCGGTCCGAGCCCCCTCCCCGCTGTTTACCGCCGCGTCTCCCACCTGTGTCTCCCTGGCTTCCCGAGTCTCTCCTCTTTGTCCTTGGTTCCTGACCAAAAGGGAGGCCGGGTGCCCCGGGAGGCTGCGTGCCCTGGAGGCTGCTCTGCAGACAGCCCGCAGGACCTGAGTCAGGCACCAAGGGATGCAGCGTGGCCTTCACTGATAGGGTCTTCCTTTCCCAAAGAAAGTTTGGGCTGTCACCAAGCTGTGGCTTTAGACAGGGGTGGAGAAGCCACCGTTAGGCCACCGTGAGCCCCAGACCCTGTGCCACCTGGGAGGTCACTCCTGAGCCCCAGAGCTGACGGGGAGGAGGCCCCAGCAGGTTGGGTGCTGGGGCTGGAGGACTTGCCTTGCTCACCTGGAGACAGAACTGTCCTCACAGCCCTTTGTGTACTGGAAGAGCCTGGGGACGCGGCTCGAGGGAGGGGGCCACAGGCTTTGAGGAAAAAGGAGGCAGCTGTACCCAGGAGTCTTTGCTTTAAGTCACTCCCACCCCCCAAAACACAAGAGAAGCTTGGGTCCCACAGCCCCCACATCCTCTGTGGAGCCCCACTTCTTCCTCCTGATTGCCTGGGAGCTTCCTTGTCTCACCAGACCTCCCATGGGTTGGTGCTGAGCTCCTGGTAAAAACCGGGTTGGGGGCTTGGTGCCAGGGTCCAGTCGGTGTGGCCCAAGCTGGGGGGGACTAAGTAGTGTCGCAGGCAACCCCCTAGTGAGTTCCACGTGGAGTGGGCTGGGAGGAGCGATGTGGGGGCTGCCCTGGCTCTGTAGGGGACAGTGTAGGGAGCCTGGGTACCCCGGTGAGTAGACAAGGCCAGCTTGGAGAGGCACAGGGACATTAGAGTATGCAGAGGAAAATGACAGGGCCAGGCATGAGGACAGGAGAGAGGAGTTTGCGTCTCCTGGGCCTTCGGGGCTGGGGCTGCCTGTGCCCCATGCTGGCCCTGCCTGGCTTGCTGCCCGAAGAATCTTCCAGAACTTCTCTAGGAAGGTGGAACAGAATCTGGACTGCAGGGCTTCCATGGGGGAGGAGAGCGGTTGAGGGGCAGCTCCAGTCCCTCTCAGGGTCACCCTTCACCTAAGGGCTCCAGGCCTCAGTCCCCAGAAGCCTGTAGCCTGAGGAGGGGCCAGGGGTACCTGCAGAAGCCATGGTCCAGACCCAGGGGGGAGGACACAAAGTCGAGAACCTGGGTAGGGGCAGGGGGAGTAAAGGACGGGCCGGGGCCTGGGGTCAGCATGCTCCTGACCCGACATGGCGGCAGTGGCCAGCCTTGGCTCACAGATGGACAGGGTTTGGACAGAAGTGGTGTTGTGTGATTGGGGGCTGTGGGGTAGATCCGGCTGGAGTCACCTCTTGCCTGGGGGCAGGAGAGTCCCCCGCTGCCCTCAGTGCCCGCCATGCCCTCCACAGCGCACACCACAGTGCCTGGCAGAGCACGGCCCATCAGCCAAGGGGAAAGCTGTGTCCCCTGCAGGCCAGGCTGAGACCACACCAGCTGTCCAAGACCCCAGCATGACCAGAGACAGGGACAGGCTTCCTGGACCCTCAGAGCCAGTTCTCCTGAGCAGACCACAGCCTCAGTTTCCCTCCCGGCAGCCCTTACAGAGATGCTCAGCCATGTCCCCTCGAGATGCGCCTCGTTCTGCTTTCCTGCTTCCGCAGCAACAGTCTCCAAACTTCTCCGGCCCCCGGGAGCAGCTGGAAGCCTCTGCTGCTTCCAGCCCCGACAGAAAACCGGGACCCCTGGGTTCCATTCCCGGTCCCCAGCATCTGAGGATGGAAGGGCATCAATCCTCCCTGCCTCCGCGGATAATTAAGACAATTACAGCAACAATCATGGTGATGAATAAATAATAAACATAAGCAGAACAGTTCTGACGCCTGTCACATCACCGGGAGATTCCTGATGACAGATGACAGGGTTCTAATGGGTTTGGCTATTACAGAGCACACTGGTCTAATGAGTTAAGGCTAAATTAATCTGGGTAATAAAAATAATTGTTACTAGTAATTTATTAGCGAAGATAATGAAATGCATGTGTACTAATAAACACTACCAGGATTAGGGCCCAGGGAACAATACCGAAGCTGGCTGCCTGCTCTCAGCTCTTCCCCAGGAGCACAGAGCCCCTCCAGATTTAAATTTCCTCTCTTTGCCGTCAGGACTGCTGTGGTAAAGTGGCGGGGTGAGTTCGGTCTTCGTGTCCATTTTTCTAAACAGGAACCGAGCCTCTTGACAGACAGCACCTCCTCCTCCCCCTTTTACCCGGACCTTGAAGTGCAGGAGTAGCTCCATCCCAGGCCAGCGAGGAGGCTGGGGAGGGGAGGGAGGGGTGGCAGATTGGCGAGGAGGGGGCGCTGTGTGCAGGCACAGGGCCTCAGCCTCAGCCTCTGCGGGCACTTGAGTTGCTAAGTCAGCAACCTGGCCCCTGACCTCTGCTGTCCCCTGCGGGGAGGGGGAGAGACCACTTTCCCTGGGAGAGGGCCAGAGGGGCTGCCTTCTAGGAAGGGGAAGACAGAGAGAGCTGTGGGGACGCCTCTTCCCTGCTGCCCCGGGACCCCAGGTCTTGGGCTCAGGCTGCCCGTTGCCGCCGCTGTTAGAGAATGACCACCACGCTCCCCACCGTGGCTTGTGATTTTAGTCAGCCAGCCAGACCCAGTGTCCCTCCCTGCAAGGGCCCCCTGGTTTCTGGCACGGTCGCTCACTAGGGCCCAGCTGCTTGACCTATGGGCCAAGGTGTGTGCCTTGTCTGTCCCCAGGTAGAGCAGGGTTAAGGCATCACACTGTCAATGCAAAGAGGAAGCACACCAAAGGAAGAGAGCCGCCTGCGTCCCCAGCTCCAGAGCACCGCTCAGCGAGGAAGGGCTTCCGGGGAGGCCCTCGGGCTCTGGGCGCACAGGTGCTGAGCTGGACACTTGCATGCCATGTGCAGCCCCCAGACCCGGGGCTCCCGTGTCCCACCTCCTGGGAAGAGCAGGGATGGGATGCCTCACGCTGCCCTCGCCTCACCGACAGGTCCGGGCCAGTGCCATCGCCCAGGACGCAGACCAGAACTACGACTATGCCAGCAACAGCGTGATCTTGCACCTGGACGCAGGCGACGAGGTCTTCATCAAGCTGGACGGTGGCAAAGCCCACGGCGGCAACAGCAACAAGTACAGCACCTTCTCTGGCTTCATCATCTACTCTGACTGAGCCCTGCGCCAGCCCCAGCCCCAGAGGGAGCGGGAGGCTGACAGCCCGAGGGCACTGTCCCCACTGTCTCCGGCCAACCCACCTGCCAGCAGCCTCAGCCTGGGGCAGTGAGCTCCCTGTGCCCCAGCACCCCAAAGCCCTGGCCCAGCTGCGCCCCCTCCGACCAAAGCTGTAATAAAAACTTGTCCACCCTGAGGTCCAGCCTGTGCCCTGGGGAGGGCAGCAGGGACACCGGACCTGCTGGCCCTCGATGGCAGGGGAGCCCCGTGGGAAGCAGTCTGCCCCACCTCACCTCCTGTGGGGGGTGCACACTGCTTTGGCTGGCGCGGGCCGTCTCTACGGCGGAACACCTGGGTTCTTGTCCCTTCCTGTGACGCCGACCCTGGGGAGTCACCCCCTGGGACCTACCCTGGCTTAGTGACAGCAGAGGAAGGAGCAGGCTTTGCTTGAGGGCTGCTTGACCTCGGTCCACGCACATCACCCCGGGCCTGTCTCCCCATCAGTGAGATGTAGGCTGAAGAGGTGTAACAGACACGCTCAATAAACATAGCTCTTATTATTTATACACGTGCCAGCGTTCGCCGTAGTCGGTCGGGTGGATTTCAGGCTTCAGGATATTAAGGGGCTGGCTTCATGTGCTGTAGTTGCTGAGCTCTGTGGTTGCACTTGAATCCAGGGCACGCAGTCTCCGTGCCCGCCGCTCCTCTGTCACGCAGCGAAGGTTTCCCAGGTGGCTGGGGAGTAGCGGGAGCAGCGAGCCCCCAGTGGATCTTCTCCTGGGTGCTGTGCAGGGGCAGTGGGTCCATGGGAAATGCGCTTGTGCCCCATGATGTGGATATGGTTGTTTTGCCCATTTGCTTTCTTTGTATGCTCATTTACTTGGAGAGGAAGGTCTTGCTATGTTACCCAGGCTGGTCTCAAACTCCTGGGCTCTGGTGATTCTCTCGAGCCAGCCTCCCCATGCTGGGACACAGGCGCCGTGTCGTGCAGCAGCTCTGTGGGCTCAGAACACGTGTGGAGAGGTTATGCAAGTTGCCAGGGCCACTGAGCTAGGAAAAGGCAGGTGCGGACATCTGGCCAAAAGGCCATGCTCTTCCCCGTGCGCTGAACGTCACAGTCAGTGTCGCCAGGACAGAACCAGGGCCACCGTTGCTCGCCTCACGTCTGGCCTTGCAGAAGCCCAATGTGTTCAGGGGCATCTCCCCCAGGAGACAGCCGTGGAGTGGCTCTGGGAGAACCCCACGGGAGGGAAGGTCCCGTCGGGCTCCCTGGCATGGCTCAGCTGGAGGGACAGGAAGAGGGCCGGCCTCCCGCCTACCAGACCCCTTGTGTGGACCCTAGTCACGGCTGTCGGGCTTGAATGACTTTCTTTATCCACCCTTCTCTCCTCACTTCCCCCCACTGCCAGCTGTGGCCATTTAATAAAATTAGCTTACTGCTTGTTCCTTCCCTGTGGGTCTGGAGATTGAAATCTGCGGGTCCCCACAAACCCAATAAAACCCCCGGCAGGTCTGGCTGGAACTAGAGGCTCCATGGGCAGTGATTAGATTGGAAGCCACTCCTCGCCCTCAGCGCTGCCCACAGTGCCCTATGAATTCTTTAATAGCCACACTGGCCCAGCACTACCCAGCCACCACCCCCAGAGGCCCCCGCCCTGCCCTGGGCCCCAGGGGCTGGCCCCGGACCTGGTACAATGGAGTGAGTGTGCCTGCCTCGGCGGCCAGTGCCTGGCTTGCTGCCTGCTTTGCTTCCTGGTGACTTGACAATTCTCATGTCGTTTGGAGAGGGACTGGACCTCCATTTGCAGACGAGGGGATCACACTGCAGATGTGCGACTCGCTCCTGGTCGTGTGGAAGGCTGTGGCACACCTGGGCTGGACTGAGGCCAGTGTCCTGCAGTGCCAGGCACTTGTCTCGAAGGAGGCCTCGGAGGAAGGACTCCCCCGACACACAACGGCCTCCCAAGGGCAAAGTCTGCTTTTTCCTCAGCCGTGGGGTACGGCAAGGGCTGTCTCCACCACGGGGCTGGAAGCTTCCTGAAGGCATGACTGTCTCCTCCATCGTTCGAGGGGCCTCTGACACAGGAGTGGTTCTCCCTGTGCTGCCTGCCCCCAGGGCTGGGACCTGTGTGCCCAGTGCAGCCAGGGGTTGCAGATTCCTCCACGCGGGCCTGTGGTCTCAAGTGGCTTCGAGGGAAGACACAGCTCCTGTTGAACCAGGCCTTGCTGAGCAGAGGGGACGGCTGGGGTTTCCCGAAGGAGAGACTCCCTCCTTATCCAGCCGAGGGCAGCGGGGGCAGAGGGGCCACAGCCAGTGGGAGTGGAGAGAGCGGGCACAGCAGACTGCAGAAGGAAAGACGCCTCACCCGGCGGCCTCCCCTCTAGGAAGAAGTGGTTAATGAAGGAATAATGTCCCTGCCAGGAGGGCTGTGGGGTTGGCAGTGAGCTTCTCCCCAGGAAGAATGGCAGGCAGGGCATCCTGTGCCCAGGAAGCTGCGGTCCCAGGGGCTGGTGCTGCCCTGGTGTGTGGGGTGCTGGGGACCGGAGAGGGCACAAGGCCACTGCTGGGGCTGCCCTAATTGGATGACTTCGCAGGGAGGCCGGGCAGGTGTGCATGGCTCTCGCTCCAGCTTCCTCCAGACACATCTGCTGTGGCAAGGTCTGGGGTTAATTGGCTCCCGCCTCACTCCTGGTAACCGATATTTCATTTGCTGCTCGGAGGGGGAGCTGCCCAGAGAATCAATCCAGACGGGGCCAGTAGATGGGGAGCTGGGCTGCCCTTGGAAGCTTCCAGGAGGGGGCAAAGGCCCACGCGAGTGCAGAGGCCCACGGGAGGGGGCTGGGTGTTCAGGACTGCTCGGCTCCCTCACTCAGTTCTGCCGACCCCAAGATGGCATCCTGGGGCCCCAGCAAGCTTGCTACCCCGGCCAGCCATGTTGCTCCCCTGCCCTGGTTCCTCCTGCACTTATTTATATGGGTGCCCCTCAGAGGAAGCTACAGCAGCTTAGCTGCTGCTAATAAGGTTATTTTCACAAGTGAAGAAGGTGCATTTGAGAAGTGGAACTGGAGGTGCGAGCTCCTCTCTAGGTAACAAACCTTAAAATCCCACAAATGAGGTGATAATAAAGTGGAAGTGAAAGGTCCACACAGGAAGGTGGTGGACGTCACTGAGGTGGCAGCTGGGTGGCAGAAGGGACCAGACAGCACCCCACTCCCCCCAACTTCCCTGCACTACCCACTCACCCCAGCTGCCAAGGTTGAGAAAGTCACAGAGCAGGTAACTCCCATTACACAGCTGGAAAAACTAAGGCCAGGGAGAAACTCAAGGTGGCTCAGGTTGCTCCAGGACAAAGACAGCAGGACCCAGTTGACACACAGAAAGTGAAGACAGAAGGCCTGAATTCAAGCTGGGCATGGTGGCATAAGCCTGTGATCCCACTACTTGGGAGGCTGAGGCAGGAGGATCATGAGTTCCAAGCTAGCCTAGGCAACTTAGCAAGGAAGTATCTCAAAATTTAAAACATGGGTGGGTGTAGCTCAGTGGTACAGGGCTTGCCTAGCATGCACAGGGCCTTGGGTTCTGTCTATACACACACACACACACACACACACACACACACACACTGACTGCATTTAAGTCCTGAGCATACTCAGTGTTGCAGGAAAAGACATCTCAGTTCTCTGAGCCTCAGTTTTCCCATCTACAAAATGCGACTGGACTGGATAGTAAAATGTCTACTTGAAGGGTGATATAAGGCAGCAGGTGAGGACTGTTCTGGTTCTGTACATTATGAGGAAAACCCAATGTGCTGTTATTGTAAGCCAAGTCTCCTGAGCCCGAGGCTTTACAGTCCTTTGCATGTTAGTGTCTGGGACAGAGACGACTGTAGAGGAAATGAAGATCCCCGGGTTGTTCTCCTACCCTGATAACCCCAAAATGAGCATGGGGCCTGGGGAGGTGCAGGGTGGGGCAGGACGTGGAGCAAAGACTGAGTACAGAGCCCTGGGTCCCCTGGTCCACTGTGGGTTCCAGTGGCCTTCACCCTGGAGTAGCAGCACAGCGCACCCCAGGCCCTGTGCACCGTTCTTGCTCTACTCCCAGGGATGGAGGAGAAGCCACCAGAGATGCTAGGCCCCACGGGGATGGTGCAGTGACATGCAGGACAGTGGCATTCGAGGGAGGGAAGGCGCCACCGCCGCAGACGAGGCGCTCTGGCAGCTGAACTCGGCGGGGCTCACACTGCTTTTCCTTGTCAATGTTTGGAAAGGCTCTGTAGCACACACCTGTTCCTCCAGAACCTGCCGAGGCCCTATGCCGAACTGTTGCTGAAGCTGAGCTTTGGGGGACTGGAGAGGGGGGCTGAACCCAAACACCCACGGGCTCTCCCCTCACCCAGGGGGTGCTGGGGCTCAACATACTCATCTCTGCCAGCAGCCATGCACTGGCCTGTTCATTTTGTATTCACTCACTTAAGGATCAACACATTTGAATGCGTTGATTTGTTTAAGCTTCGCAATAGTCCCACAAGTTCATGTAACCAACCCCAAGAAAATGGAGGCAGTGAGACGAATTAACTTGCCTGAAGTCACACACTACTCTGAGCAGCCTTCCCTGCCCAGTCACCCAACCACACCACTTCCCGTGACAGCCCTGGGATGTGGCACTCAGGTCTCCTCAAGCCTGGAGGATCTGGCCCACTGCCGCTGGGGTGCTGCCGCAGATGGCTGGTGGCCACAGGTCCTCTCCTGGGATTGCGGCTGTCCATGCCCGGGAGCTGCCTGATGATGTCCGGCCTCCTTCCCCAGCGCCCTGCTCCTATGACCAAAGATGTCCCTGCCTGGCCTCCCAGCCCCTGCTCAGGACAACTGACTCAGAAGTACCCTTGCACCGCCAGAGCTCAAACGCAGGTTCCTGCTGTCCTGTCCAGCTCTGGCTGCCCCTCCCCTCCCACAGGCATTGACTCTGGGAGCACTCACCCCAAGCCCTCCTGCATCCCGAATCCTTTCCCAGAGCCTGCACCCTAGAGCACCCCACCCCCTCTCCATTCACAGCAAGGGCCAGAGGTAAAGCATGCAAATAGCTCTGTCTTAGCTACTTGCTTGTTGCTGAGACAAAATACCCAACACCCAAAGTTAAAGGAGAAAAGGTTTCAGTCCATAGTCAGCTGGTTCCAGGCAGGGCAGCACAGCAGAGGGGCATCGACATGGAGAAGCAGTTCATGGTGTGGCAGGAGGCAGGCAGAGGCAGCAATGGCAGCAGCTGCACGTCTGCCTTTGCCCTGTCCCCTTATAGCCCGTGCAGGCTACAAGCTGATTGATTGGTGCCATACATGCCCAGGACGGGGCTTCCACACTCCACACCCTTGATCCCAGGGGCTCCCCTTTAATCCACACTCACACACTAGATCCAGCCACTTTTGAAACCCCCCACCTGTGAGTGTATGAGACTTTGGGGAAACATCTAGCCCTGGTGCTCTCCTACCTCATGGACCAGCCAAAAGTCACAGAGGGGGCTCTGCCACTGTCCACCATGAAATCCAAACCCTGTGCAAATGGGTCCCCTCGCCTTTCTTTTTTTGCCCCTGAAAGATGTTCTGCACCCTGGCCCTCCCGCCAGTGTGGCTGGCTGATCTTGTTTCTCCACACTGTCCTGGTTTCAAAATGAATTCCTGGATTCTGTGAGCCCCTCAGTCTCGGCCAGGCGAAGCCGGACAGGTGATCGTCGCACCTCCCACTTCTTAGGAGTTGCTGGCTCTACCTGGAGTCCCCCACAGCCTCACGCGCTCCCAGGTGGCGCTGTGGGGGTGATTGGATCATGGGTGTGCGTCCCTAGATTAGTCTGCCAACTGCTGTAGCATAGTTCTGGATGTGACCGAACGGATTTACTAAAGACGAAAGGCCCACCCAGGCGAGGATGGCACTAAGGCTGCACTCTGGCTGGAATAAGAGGGTAAGGGGGAGGCTGCTGCCTCCTGCCTGCCCCACTATGAGCTATTTCTCCTGGGCCAGGACCCTCTGCCACGCTGCCCTGCCTCAGAGCCAGCCCGCTATGAAACAAAACCTCTGTAGACTGTGAGCCAAAACAAACCTTTCCACCTTTAATTCTGTCCCAGCCATGAGGAGGTAAGGCACTGCCACCTTTTCTAACCCTCAGCTGTTCATCCTTCATCAGCTCCTTCTCCTCAGCACCAACGTCTCGCCTGTATTTCAAGTCTCCCCTGACCCCTGGTCCCCTCCTCCTACTCCCCTCCAGCCACAGCTTCTAACAGCAGCCCTGCTTCCCGGGTCCCACTCTGCCTTGGCTGCTGCAGCTCCTCCGCGCGGCTCCTCCAGTCCTCTGTGACCTCCCTGTTGGTGAACGAAGTGGACTCCTCTGCTCTTATCACCCCGACCTCTGCGCTAGGCGAGACCTCATGGTTCAAGGTGGCAGCTCATTGCAGGTGGGAGGGCACTTCACTCTGCCTCACTGACCACCTGGGGTCAGAAGGCCCAGGAAGCAGACAGTGAGCCGCCTGCAGACCTCACAGGGTTCAGAGCCTGCAGCTCTCCCATGCATAGCCATACTTCCTGATTCTTTTTTCGGTTTTTTGAGACAGGGTCTCGCTATGCAGTTCAGGCTGGCCTTGAGCTCACTTTGTAGCCCAGGTTGGCCTCGATTGCACCAATCCTCCTGCCTCAGCCTCCTGAGTGATAGGATTACACACCTGCATCACCTCGCCTGGCAATACTTCTTGTTTCTAACAAGGAAACAATTCTATTTTTTTTTTTTTGGTCCCGAGAATTGAACTCAGGACCTTGTGCTTGCCATGCAGAAGCTGTGGTGCTGAGCTACATCCCTGGCCCAAGGAAACAATTCTGCATCCAGCCCTCAGGTCTAGGTTCTTGGTCCTGATACATTTTGTTTGTTTTTCTGAGACAGGGTCTCTCTGTGTAGTCCAGGTTGGCCTTGAACTCATGGTGTCCTCCTGCCTCAGCCTTCTGGTGCTCGAATCACAGGCTTGCGTCACCACGCCTGGCTTGGGCCTTTACATTTTTACTGGGCAGTTCCACAGCAGTCTCCCCTTACCAACACCCACGGTGGGGGCCCAGGAGTTCTCCCCCGGTGTCCACTGACACCAGGGCTCCCAGCATCAGCGCCACTGACTCACCTGTGAGCCTGGGCTTCTGAGGCCCCACTCGCTTGGCCTTAGACCTCAGCGGCAGGCCCTCCCCTCCCGGTGGCCAGCTGTCCCCTCGTCTCCCTGTTAGTACTAATTTCTCTGCTCTCCTAGACTGCAAGCGTGGTACGGTGAGCTGGGGGTGTCCTTCGTCATCACAGGCCGGCGTGTGCCTCGCACGCTGGTAAAGACGGTGAATGAGTGCATGAAGGAATGAACGAATGCACGAAGGAACGTCGCGAACACCCACTAACATCTCTTTGAAAGCCCACCGGGTTGTTTCTCCGGCATGACGTCCAGCCTGCGCAAGGGGCTGCACGGTGCTTTCCTCCCAATACCTTCGGAAACCGCGGCTGAGAGCCCACAGCAGTGCCGCCTGGGAGCGGGCCCCCCGGGCTCCTCCCCGCCTCCGGCCGGCGCCAGGCCCGGCGCACAGGCCGCCGCAGGCAGAGGTGGGCCCCGGGCCGGGGACGTAGCTCAGCGGCACAAGCGCCTGCCTGGCGAGCGCTAGGTCCTGAGTTCGATTCCCAGTACAAAAAAAAAACCCAGAAGTGGGCCCTCCACCCTCCGCCGCGCCCGTCTCCGCGGACGCCGCCCGGGGCCCGCCTCAGCCCGGCC